TAACAAAGAATTAGGGGCAAAATCAACGCAAATGTGGTGAGTAAGTTCACTATGTAAACGCACACTACTTTCATAATTCTACACACTGACATAATCCAACAATCTACACTTGGTTTTACTATCTTTACCAGTTCGCTAACTTGACAACATAAACGACCCAGACTGATGAATGATGATCAAGTATTTCACAGCCTACACTTAGTTTAGTTACCTTCACCTACTCCCCAACATGACAACCAAAATGACCTCATACTGACGAACGATAATCAAGTATTTCACATTCTACACTTAGTTTGGTTACCTTTACCTATTCTCGAACTTGACAACCAAAAATGACCCCAGAGTAACAAACGATGATCAAGTTAGTAAACTTTATTTTGATATAATAACAGATATACTATTACCTTTGATATTTGGTTTGAACGATCTTCATTGTTATTTTGACTTTCAATATGTCCTTTTAAGTTGAACTAAGTCTATATGACTTGGCGGGTCATAAAGAGCATCTCAAACAAACTTCAAACCTTCATTAACAACTGTCTCCGCTCAATACTCAAGATCAGATGGCCAGAAAAGATCAGCAACAGGGATCTCTGGGAGCGAACCAATCAGGAACCGATTGTGAAACAAATAGGCAGAAAGAAATGGAGATGGATTGGCCATACGCTGAGGAAACCATCAAGTGACATCACTAGACAAGCCCTCGAGTGGAACCTGAAAGGGAGGCGGCGAGTTGGTCGTCCAAGGGTGACTTGGAGGAGGTCATGCGAGGAGGAGATGAAAGCATGTGGACAGACCTGGAGCAGGGTGAAAAAGTTGTCAGAAAACCGAAGTCAATGGAGGTGCGCAGCTGAAGCCCTATGTTCCTCTAGGAACTAAAGGATACAATAATAATAATTCTTTGTTTATATATGCTAAGATTTTGTAAATTCCGGTTTAATAATACTTTGAGAAAGCTATTAGCATTAAATAGCGAAACGTCAGTAAAAACAATCTCGTTTTGTTTTTTCATTCATTGGGAAATACAAAAACCTCTATTATAATGAATATCATATACCCAATGCCCAAATATTTTCAAACCGTTAAAAGTGAACTTGGTTTGGATATATAATGGAATGATTTCGATGAATCGCATGAATGACCTCAACTCGAGTTTTATACTAGAAGAATGGCAAGATGCCTGCCTACTCGACTGCAAAGGAAGTGGGTAACGGCAGTCAAATTCAAGATGACTCCAAGGCACTTACTGAGTTTTTAGATAATCTTATGACTTATAAGAATACCTTGATTTCGATGAATTGCATGAATGACCTCAACTCGAGCTCAGTCCTAGAGGTAATAGCAAGACGCCTACCTACTCGACAGCAAAGGAAGTGGGTGAAGATAAGCTCCTGTATGGAGGATGAGGGTATCGAGCCAAAATTTGATGATATCCTGAAACTAGTAAAAAATAGTGTCAATCAATCGATGAGCAGGTTCGCCAGTATATTGAATCTCACCCCTAGAATAGAGCAGTCTGAGGGTAAAACGCACTCATTGATGACGAATAAGCCTCAGAGAGGTGGATATCGAGAAGACTCCATGATGTCTAGTAATGCATATAGACCTAGTGAGTGTAACAGGTTTCGTAGTACATCCTCAACAGATAAGTTACAAGATGCAAGACAAACACGGTTGTGTTTTACACGTTTGCAAGAGGTGCATACAAAGGTGAACTGTGAACCAGTGAGCAAATTTAGTGATAAGCTAAATGTAAACTCCAGGCCTGACTCCGAATTGTGTGACGATAATAGCGGGGTGAAGAAGCCTGTAGTTGCAATTAGTGGGCCATTGTTGAATAGTATACCACAGAGGAGAGTTACACTCTCAGAGGACAGTTCTCTCTCCACAAGTTTACAAAGTATTATTAGTCAGAGTGAAGATATAAAATCTTTGGGGATTTGTGAGGAGGAACCAAAATTGTCTACTTCTGTTATTAAAGAGTTTGAAATTGATGAAGTCGACCAGAATGATGATAAATGGAATATTCGGGATAATGATCATGATACTTCACATTTGTCTTTGGTTGATCATGATGAGATGAGGGAATGCCTACTACTGCTAAGTTAATTAAAGGTTCTGTACAACTACAACGTGAAGTAGAAATAAATGCAGTCGCAGAAGGCATGCACACTTGTCAGACCGTCAGTGTAATTGATCAGAGTGAAGCCCACCTATCATCAGATGCTGGTGCTAAACCTGAGCTGATAGTAAAAGACAGCAGTGGTGGTGGTCTTGCAGTTAGAGAATTTTCTGAAAGCCGAACAACAACAGCTTCTGATCCACCGCTAAGTTCATTAACTTGTGTCACTCAGTCGTCGTTGGTGCTGTCATCCACAATGAAACAGACGCCCATCAACTCAAGTATCTTGTGCAATGACTATGATAGTATTGGTGCGTTTGGAAAGACGACAGATATTGCTCAGTTTAGTGAGAATAAGCCAAGTGTAAACGAGAGAGTAATTGTTAATTTGACTTGCATGAATAAAGGCATTTCTAGTTTCAAGTTACTATTTGAATGTTATTAACTTTGGTGTAAATTACTCTGTGTCTACGCTTGGTTGACCAGATATGTCGTATGTTTGTTCGTCATCTATATCCTACGATACAACGACATGAGCGTGTTGCCGTTCAGATTTGAGGATATGGATGATAGAGGGAAGTCAGCAAATGAACTCTTCGACGATTTTCCAACCTAGAGCATCAACCTGAGAAGGGTTGTAGGCGTACTGCTGTAAGTCCTACAATTCTTCAAAGGGTAGCGCATCAATGAACAGTCCAATGTGCTCGGTGTGTGATTTTGTACATAGGTTCATGTTGCATATGCTGAATTGGTATCATCTTTCATCTGTCTCTTGATAATTTTGTGTGTGTCTGGATGTCTTCCACTTGTATCATCAACATGAGAAGGAATGTAGGCGTACTGGTGTAAGTCCTACAGTTCTTCAAGGGTAGTTTGTCGTGCCAGAATCCACAACATTTGATATGTTGATTGTACATGTGTTTGTGTTAAATAATTGTGTGAGTTCCAATTATTGTAATTGTTGGTTAATCTTGTTTGTGTCCGGACATTTCACAAATTACAATCGTCAACCTGAGAAGGGTTGCAGGCGTACTGGTGTAAGTCCTGCGATTCTTCAAAGGAATTCCATCAAGACATGAACTGCGAGTTGTTTCGATGAAACACTGTTTACCTCACTCGCGCGTCAGATGTTCCTGCACGTGTGAGTCAATGTGTCGTGTTGATTAGTGGGTCTTACGATCGAGGCTGCGTCTGTCGTCTGTGAAACGATCGCCTGGCCAGTTAGAATACGGGAGGTTTGGACGTTGGCGATGATTATGGACGGTGGAGGTTTGTAATGTATTTTGTCTTAATCCGCTTCCGTCTGCAGGATTTTCGCTCATTCTGGTGATAATTGCCGATTCTGCTACATGTAAGAATGCATGGAAGCCAGTAATGACTTGCGATGGGCAATTATCACGTAAGCATGTGTTATTTTTACAAGGTTGAATCTGTAACTAAGTAAAATGAATATTTCATCTGAGCCAGTATTGTTCTGTGCAAAGCACGCTGTGATTGTAGAGTGCGTAACAATATGATTGTACACTTTTTGTTAGTTGTAGAAATTAGAAATATTGTACATGATTTTTGTTTAAAACGATTCTTGTTAAAATACATATAATTTCAGAGTACAGTTAGAAATACAATTTACTGTTGGGAATGGCAATGGATAAAGGCACACACGGGGTGTCGTTATGTGTTATCGCGATGTTGTGTTTGGGTTGTTCTACGTTGTTTTCAGGTTTTTTTCAACTGAAATACATTATAAATACCATATTTTAACGAAAAAACTTAGAAAAATGGTGGAAAGCAGACGCTTTCAGCAGTTTGAGTGAACACGTACCTGTCATCGAATTTCGTTATTTCTTTGCATGTGGAATGTTAAAAGTCTGTGTAAATTATTGATTACGTTTAAAAAACGAAATAAATTAGACAATCGATGCATATTTTGCGAAATTCTGAAGGGGTTTTTGAATCGCTGAGATATGAAAACTTGGTAACATTCAGAAGAGTCTACAGCTATAAAGGAGTGTTAGTTGATTTATTCGCAAGATAACAGTTAATAAACAAATTGTTTTTAATAGTTACTTTGGTTTGGAGTATTTTCGTGTTGCTAATTATTTGTTAACAAATGTCATACTATTGTTGATTTGCAGGCTGCGATTGTAATTTACGGAGTGGTTCACTTTATTTGGAGGCTTTAATGAAGTGCGATTGAAGAATTTGCGCGTTATCGTTGGAATCTTTGTGATATTATAAAATTATTTATCAAAATAAATATCCCTTTAATGTTTTAACGGTGTTCTTTAAAGAATTCACTACTACTTCCCTTTGCTTGTCGAAGGAATAGTGATGTAGCCGGTTTTGGAATGCGTAATGATTTGATCTGAAAGTGATAATTTACGCAGCATAATAATACTAGGATTTTCTTCAATAGGCTATACTTATTCCCAGTCGGTTACTTTTTTTGAACCTGGGATATGTGGGTAAAAACGTGGGCAGTCTTCCGTTCAAATGTGGGCAAAGTGGGATAAATTGGGCTGTTTTCGTTTGTAACATGGGTAAAGTGGGAAGAAGTGGGCTAGTTGGTCAAGTGACATGGGAAAAGTGGGCAAACGTGGGCAACTATTTTCTGGAGGCGTGGGAAATGTGGGGAAATATGGGAAACAGGGGAAACATGGGAAGAATGGAGTGAATTTGTTTTCGTAGCGCAGTCATACTAAGATGGGGAATGCATGAGGTGAGGAAAATTTCAGCTTGAATATTATACAATGCGTCTGTAATCACTGTGAATTGGCATGAAGACAAATGGTGACGATTTCATTTCCATTATTTTGACACGTTTGTTTATGTGAATTCAAACTGAAGTTTGACTTCCGAAGCCGCGATTTCAAATTCTTCGTCGTGCTCCCCTCACTAGGTGAGTTAAGTATGTGCAGTAATGTCTTTTTTAAGGTAATAAAATGGATACTGAAAGTGAAATAGTACCAAGTGGTAGTAATGTGAATACCCCTAGACGTCTTAGAAGTACTTTATTCTCTTTAATATAGCCTTGTGCTTTAGGTTTGTTTGGAAAAGAGACAGGCCACCGATCCACATTGTATAGAAGAACTAAGAGATTGAAATCGGAGTTGCTCGGTGACGTAGCCAAGATGATACTTCCCGGTTTCAGAGTCGAGGCTGGTGAATGTCTAGTAGATGAAACTTCTTGTAGCGTCGTTAACGTGCAAAATGACATGCAAACCACTTTACCAAGTTGGTTTCTTAGTATTTCGTGTGATGACTATTTTATGAGGTAATGCTGCGGGCGCTCTTTTGTCCCATGAGATACGTTCCGATAAGGCGAAAGAACGCAATTCGAAGGCAGAGCTTAGGAAGACTGCCTTAAAGCTTATGATGACCACTAAAACATCCATTGTTGATGGTAATTACGCGTTATTTGCGATGTACGTATCCGCCCTACATTTGTTACTATGTATATGTAGTAATCGCAGAACAAACCTAAGCTCAGCGTACATTTTTTCGCAAGCCCTGATGAAAGATAATCTTTTACGCAGCCGTATTGAGTGTAACTGAAACATTTCATCGGAGGCTTGATGACGCACTGAGGAAATAATAGCGGTTTACGATTATCAAGCATATCACACAACTATTACTACGTTGCCTATCAACTTCGTTAACTATGCAATGTCCTCGAAATGATAATTAAGAGAGATACGTGTAGTCAACATAAATGCATATATTTACAAAATAACAACAGTTAAACAGTACGTATTCACATTAAAAAGGGTGGGAAAAAATCACAGTTGTAGATTTTTTATGGGTACATCATAGTCAAATTAAAGTCCACTAATCGTTTTATCCACAATATGTGGATCAGTTTCCCCTAGATGATTGTGACACTGGACCCGTTTTTACAGCTTTCAGCACCATCTGATCCTTCAGAAGAAACTGATTACGACCTGTTCATGCAAAGATTGAGATTGTATTCCTTTGACCACACTGAGAAATATCTAAGGATTTATACATATCAGGTGAATTAATCTTACCTCAGGTGAACAATCCCTAATCTTAGCAACAATGAATATGTGAACAAGGGAGGGAACAATAGTAGAATCGGTATGAACAGTTCATATATCCCATAACAAGCATGAAGAATCCTAAAACTTCCGATTTATCTTTCACACTTTGTCTTCTGCAAAATGCAAATGTTACACAAATGCCTCTCCTCTCTGTCCGTTACAATCAACTGAAAAAGACTAAATCTTCAAACTTTATACTTCTTTGATTAAGTTACCCAATAATATTCTCTTTTTTAGTGGGTCCACATGCATATCACATCTGTAGAATCTATACATGCGTTAACTTGTCTCCTTAAGCTGAAAAATGTAATGTCTATGCGACTTTTATTACTCTCATTTCAAAGCCCGCCTCAGTAACGTGAGCTACGTATCAGCCGCAGCGTTTACGCAAAGTAAAATCTACCAATCACAGTATGCATATGTGACCATGAGGTGCTCAGCCTCTCCGTAAGGTCGTGTGTGCCTTTATCCATTGCCGTTGGGAATTTCGCCTTCTCTCTCGCCTCTACTGCTTACCCGCTCGACTCACACCATGTTGTATACTTTGGATTTATTTTAGGAGTCTACTATCCTTATCCGAAGACAATTCTACAACCGGCACACAGCATCTACAGCAGACGCAATTCCAACAGTTAACGTTCCCTTGGATTATATAAATAATTTGTAGCAGAAGACTTTATATCCAAGTAATCATTTTTATTGATATAACTCGTTACTGCATTTTTTGGTAATGTATTGTTACTCAACGTCTCATTGACTTGGATTATTATTCTCATATTTGTAATGTTGATGAGCTGTCATAACAGTCCCCTGCATAATAACCTGCTTGCTTTGTCTTCGTTTCTCTTGAGAATTCATAACAGTAGGTTAAATTCCAGTCAAAGATGGGCGTGAGTACTAAACTCTAGAGAAAAGAGGGATGCTATTCTAAGCAACTCTCATATTCTCAAAGGATCAGGGATATATGTCCGCGCTGACTTAAGCCTAGCAGACCGTGTCAAAAGACAGGCTGTGGCACTAGAATTAAGTGAGCGACGCCGGAACGGCGAGAAGAACCTTATGATTAAGGGTTTTCGGGTTGTCCGAGTTCGCAGTTTAATGACCCAGAAACCTCTGTAGGTGGGCCGGGGAAGCACCAATCTGAATTAACAGTCTGCTACACAAACGCCCGCAGCCTGTTAAATAAAAAGACTGAGCTGGTTAACATGATAGAATCCGGAAACCCGGATGTAATTATTATCACAGAGACATGGCTCACACCCGATGTCACTGACAACGAAGTTAACCTGCCAAACTTCGAAGTGCACAGGGTGGACCGACTAAACCGCAAAGGAGGTGGCGTAGTCATCTACCTCAAGAAAGGCTTAACCGTGCGTAGTATCGAAGCACTCGCCCACGAAAGTGAGTCGTGCGAACTTCTACGATGCAGACTTAAATGCATAGGCCAAGACATTGACCTCATTGCTGTGTACCGCAGTCCTGACTGCAGTGCAGACGACCTCCTAATAGAGAGGCTAGGTTCCTGGACTTCAAAATGTCGAAGTCTCGTAGTCGGCGACTTCAACGCCCCAACGGCTGACTGGTCGAGCCTAACAACATCTTCAGTCAACTCGTTTGATCATAAACTGCTAGAATGCCGTATATCGTTAGCCCTAGTCCAACATATCATTAAGCCCACGCGCTATGACTCACAGCACTCCTCCTCAACTCTGGACCTAGTGTTCTCCCACGGTGGCGATGTGGATCTCATACAACATCTTCCTCCGTTAGGAAGAAGTGACCATGCTGTGCTCACTTTCAAGTTCACAGCAACGGCAGCAAGGGCCAAAACCCCAGCTCGATCAAACGTTTGGAAAGCTGATATAAATGCGATCGTCTCAGCAGCCAACTCAGTAAACTGGTACATCAACGCAGAGTCCTAAGTAGAAGCCGCATGAAACCAATTTAAACAACTTTACGCCCAAGTAACTGTACCTTTCATCCCTTGGTCTGTTCCAAAGGGTCTGAAACATTACCACCCCCTTGGATAAACCGGGAGATTCGTAAGTTACTCAGACGTAAACGCGAATGTTGGAACCTGTTTGCAACACTTGAGACTTCTGAGACCAAGGAATTATATAACACTGCTAGAAATAAAGCTATTGCAGAAATCCGCCAATCAAGGATGAAGTTCGAGACACACCTGGCTCAAAATGCAAAGGCTCAACCTAAGAAAATTTTCTCGTACTTGAATTTCAGGAATGAAACATCCAATGGTGTCCTAAACCTGATTATTGACAAAGATACAATCGAAGAAAATCAAGAAAAAGCGGAAGCAATGGCAAACTACTTCTCCCAAGTCTTCACTCAGGATTCATCAGTGCCTATAGGATCAGCTCTGGCTGCATCAGAAGAACATGGGATAGATTCCGTTGACATCGACCAAGGCATCGTGCTCAACTGCTTAATGAAACTAGATGCAGGGAAATCAATGGGTCCTGACAATCTTCATCCAAGGCTTCTCAAGGAGCTATCAGCCCACATAGCCGGCCCCTTGACCACGATCTTTAAGCTATCTCTCCTAAATGGAGTGTTGCCACGTGATTGGAAAGACGCCATAGTAACCCCCATACACAAAGGAGGATCAAGACAAAGCCCTTCAAATTACAGGCCTATCAGTCTCACCAGCACTTTAATCAAGACACTGGAAAGAATTATCAAGAAAAGCATCATGGCTTATCTGGAAAATAGCAGCTTGTTATCTGGAGCACAGCATGGCTTCCGGAGGAACCTCTCATACCTGTCAAATCTCCTGACTGCAAGAGAAAGCTGGGTCAAATCAAAGGACAACAGAAGACCCGTTGACGTCGTCTTCATAGACTCCAGCAAAGCCTTTGATAAAGTACCTCACAAAAGACTACTCATGAAATTGGAAAGTTTTGGTATCAAAGGCAGACTACTAGACTGGCTCAGGGAATTCCTCATAGATAGGAGGCAGAGGTTTAGGATCAACTCAAAGCTCTCCTCCTGGACAGCAGTGCCACAAGACACGGTTCTCGGTCCTCTCCTTTTTATTCTGTATATCAATCAGTTACCTCTGCTCACCGACTCCCCTATGGTCCTATACGCAGATGACTTAAAAAGAAAAAAAGAGCTGAAAAACAACAGTGATACGTTCACGTTGCAAGAGGACCTCAACAAATTGTCGGAGTGGTCCGTTGAATGGGTACTCCCGATCAATGTGGCAAAATGTGCAACCATGCGCATTGGATAATCAGGCACAAGCTCCTACGAATTGGAGGGAATAACACTTCCATCAGTTCAGACTCACTTGGACTTAGGTGTCATAGCCACGACTTAAAAACTACAGCACACTGTCGCGCGGTGGCTGCACGTAGTTTCAGGTCCTTATGGACGATTCGCAGAGCCTTTACAAGAATTACCAGAGATATGTTCACCTCCTGATATACATCTCTGGTTAGGTCAAGACTGGAAAACTGCATCCAGGCCGCCAGTCCTTGTCTAAAAGGGGATTCACACATTCTAGAAAGTGTTCAAAGGAAGGCAACGCGTATGGTTCACGGCATAGCTAACTTATCATACGAGGAAAAACTAGACAGTTTAAATCTCTTCTCACTGTCATACCGTAGGCAGAGAGGAGATTTAATCACAATGTTTAAAATTTTAAATAATGACTACGGACCTGACCTATTCTCTCTTTTCCTCCCCACCAAGTCGGAACACCTTAGAGGACATAGCAGGAAAGCTCAAAAGCCAAGGAGAAATCATATTACTGTTGAGTACTAGTTCTCACATCGAGTCATAAACTCTTGGAACCGACTCCCAGAAGAAGTGGTGTATGCAACCTGAACTGATTCGTTCAAGAAAGGTTTGGACAACCACAGAAATCTACTAGAAAAGGATTAACATAGGCTCCAAGCCTTCTATCCTCAACCAATAAATCTGAATCTGAATGAATCTCTAACGGAACATGAAGTAGGATAACTTTGATGCATAGGTATTTAGATGACCTAGTGTTTCAGGCAGAACTGAGGTTGTTTACACCTGCTTTGAGTTAAGTGAGAATGTCAGCACTTTTGCTTTTGTTTCACGGTGTGACTGACTGAGACGTTATTGTTATTCTCTCCTCATCCACGGAATAGTGACGAAACGGAGGTTCTTGATTCATTGAATTCTATGTAGAAGTTCTGAATCACTTTAAGTTTAGAGAATGGATGGTGGACATTTCCAGAGAGAGAGAGGTGAAAATTATGCATTAGGATTCGCGGATATTATTATATGCTTGTAGTTGATTTCAAGAATTGAGCGAAATATTGTATTAAACCACAAGCCAATAAAGAGCAGATTTTCATTCACTAGGGTGAATAACGTAGCCATCTAGACAGTTCATGTGAAATGTAAAGTCCGTATTACAGGATTTATAAATTTGAGTGTAACTGAGTGAAAGATAAGGTGTTCACTGAAGTAGATATGGCTAACATACCCACTGATTTTGTATGCTGTGAATACACGTATCTCAATGCATATTCATTACAGCTGAAATACAATTTCGATTTAATTTAACAGGTTGAGTCGGGAATACAAACTTATGGAGTTCCAACATTGGACGTCGATGATCGCTGATAAATGAATGAATTCATCAAAGCATTCAAGTAGCCGTTTAAAAAGAAGGTGAGTCTGGCATTGTTGAAGTGCATTCAGAATAAGAAGGTTTTCCGGTGAGTCTGACATCCTATTTGGTGTTGTGTACATTGATTAACCCTTCTTTTGTTTCCATGACCTGATTTTTATTATATTTACTAAGAAATTACGTAGTTTTGCTTAGCTTTATATGACGGGTGTGTTTCATAGTCGTTGTGTTAGCATGTAGAGAGTGACTGTGTTTAATATCGTGTTATTATTATTTGCGTAGAATCGGTGTACTAAGGTGAATAATTGCATTTCAGTTAATTCATTATGCACGCGAACTGAGTACTATCAGGTGCTATCTCTTGCCCTTATCGAGGTAAACACAGAAATCTGAGAGTGGATTAGTGATGTAGGTTCAGTCGTGTTCGTCATTCTCAAATGACAAGTGGTTTACAGTGTTGCATGGACTTGATCTGGGAGTTGTGTGGCCAGATTGATGTGATTAAGCACAATAAGTCGCGTCCTAAACGATTCAGTTATTTTTCTCTAGCTGGCAGAAATCTTTGATAAACTATTGCTTCTCAAATATATTTAGCAAACCTTTTATAGTGACATTTATCAGTTGGAAATTATGTCGGGTGCAAAACATATAAATGAAGTTGCTTATAAAACAATCCCATGCTGGGAAGCTCTTTTGATAAAATCACAGTGATACAGCGTTACTTACTAATGACATGGAGGATTTGTTACCGAAGATCACATCACTCACAAAACTTTCCGATATCGTCTAAAATTCCATCATTTCTCACCCAATGATTTTATTGGTAGTAACACTGCATATCTCGCAGATTGGTGGTGAGTCATTGTCATTGCATGTGTTAGGTGTGGATTATATGAACGAAGATTCAGCCAGTGTTCAATCTCTACCCCACACTCTAAGCCTATTCTGTGATTGTATGCCAATACGTGCATTGCGATTGGTGAGATTTTTCTCTGAATGACTCACCTATTCAGGTTATTCTACAAATCAATGGTGTTGCGATGGGGAGCCCTCTGAGGCCCCTGTTAGCAGATATATTTATGTCGAAATTAAAGAAACAAATGCAAGGTATGCTTGGAGAATTTATGCTGTATAAACGTTATGTAGATGATACTCACATTATTGGTAATAATAGTAAATCTATTGAAAACTTTATTACCCTGTTTAATCATATTCATCCAAATATTCGAGTGACTTGCGAACTAGAATCGAATAACAAACTCGGTTTCCTGGATATTACTATTACGGTAAGGATAGACCACATCTTGAAAAGACAGATTCTGTATCAAAGAAAGCTATCTTTATTAACCTACCATTCAAGGGTGACCAGATTATGCAGTTGACAGCTCAAAGACTTCGGTCAGCCATCAAACGCACACTCTACGCCGCCACGTCTCTATTTCTCACTTCCCAAACATTTTCGATCCCTGTACCTAGGATTAAAGGACGAAATTCTGTGGACTCTACTTCAAACTCTATCTACAAGTTCACCTGCAGCTGCGGTGACACTTATATAGGTAGAACTAACAGAATGTTCCAATGTCGTCGAAAAGAACATGCTCCGAAAAGGCTACTAAATCATATCGAAAGTCCTAACGCGATTAATCTTAATAGAAATTCAGCATCATCCATTGCAAAACACTTATTAATGTCTGGTCACAAAATCAATATTAATGACTGTTTCACAATTATTTCAAATAACTCTAATTCACGGTTATTGAAGGTGATGGAAGCACTTTGGATTAATCACATACAGCCTAAACTGTGTGTACAAAAATCAATAGACTTCAATCTTCGCCTACCCTGGACTACATGACCTATCTAAATATGATTGGTCATAAGTATGTACTTTTGTTTTTATTTAATTGAGTAATTTTCATGAACTTTATTTTATCATTGTTAACCATGTTAGTTGTAAAGCGGTTGTAAAGAAAGTACGAAATGATATCATCTCGCGAAATTTGAATTCTTAATGCCTTATTCAAATTAATCAAAGGGACTAATTGTTTTAATATTCTATGCCTAGTTAGATTCTTTTCTCCCGACAAGCTGACTGCCCTCGATTTACTGGTGTGACCTTTTTGGTTGACCTCACAGTCATTGCAAGGCATTTTGTAGGTTACATTATTTTATCCAGTGGGGTAATTTAATTTACGGAGCATACCATATGCGTAAACGAGTTTGTAGGTTAAAGTGCCAGTCTAATTGCTTGTCGATTAAGACGTTTCTCCCTTCTAAATGAGCAGTGTAAGACATCTACCTATAAGAGGAAGCGTCATCTGAGGCCTTATGTAAGTTTCTCAATACATCAGGAATGAAACATATCACCACTAATCAAATCATTGGGTGAGAAGTAATGGAACTACTTAGTCGATGTCGGAAGTTTCTGCGTGTCCCCAACTTCTTTCTCTATATCACTGAAATCTCTTCCATGTTTTTGTGTGAATGTAGCGACTCTTATGGTGAATGTCTGTCTCCCTACGCCCAAGACAGAAGTAGGGATTGTACATGCTTCTTTTGTACACAAACGTCCCTATGCCTCCTCTATGTTGATTTAATTGGTGATTCTCATCTGTTTCAATCTAAAAGTGATTTTTAATTCGACATATATCGTTCTATGAAGTCACGTAATCGGTGAGTATACATAATGTTGTACTTTTTGTGTTCAATTATAGAGCAAGGGTTTTATTTTATTACTCTTTTTATAGTCCATATATACATATATATGCATGGGACGCTGAATTCTGAATTAGCGTCTAGGGAACACCAGCAAGGTGGGCTAAACATGCCGCCTACAAGGCTGAATTTAACAATCACAGACCTGATGCATCGATTCGAAGTCTTGATTTGACGACCGCTAATTCTTATCTGATTTTATCCTGTGTGGAGTGAGATTGTTCGACGAGAAAGACAATTGTTTGGAATGCGTAACGCACGTCAAATCTGTGTCGATCGATGCAGCCTGATAGTTCATCTGTCTTCCTCGATGAGCAATCTTAGGTGAATTGAAATAATCTTGTACAAATTCTCTCAGCAGCTTGTCAGAGTTTCAGTCACTACGTAATGTCCAGTCAAACTTTTCAGTACAATCTTAAAGGGAGTCAATCACAAACCTCTATAGCTCAGTGCTAATGTCTCTGCATGCAGTACTGAGTGACCTAGGTTCTAGTCTCAAAGAGGCTATGTGCTCCTTTGAAAATACAGATAGGTCTCGCTGACGAGCGCCAGCAAGCACGAGAACCACGTCCTATGTTCCCTGCTGTGATCACCTACCACAATATGGTTACACCAATCCAGATGGTATGATAAATGACTTGTGTGTAGTTGGCATCGGTAGTTGTGAGATTTACTTATTGATGATGTCTTCATATTTAGGCGGGAGTATTCTCACTGTTTCCTTACGGATAAATAAATCAACACATATGATCCGATGGCTATCATCACTAATTGGGTTACAGTTATGTATCTTTACCATGGATAACATTCTGTGCAATAGCAACTTGAGAATGTTATGATACATTGAGCGAAACAGCTGTCTGTGGTCAGTCTGAAGTATCCTTGACTCTGCACAGTGAATGTGCGTAGTGATACACCCCGTGATATCTGTTATTTTGTGCAAGTAGTTGGATAGTGTCCAGATGTCCATACGGAAGCAGTTGGTTGTCTTAATGAGCCACTTCCTTAATCCTAGTCTTCGAGACAGAGACTGCAAATGCGAGTCTATATGGGATAGGATTTTGAGGGAGAGACCGAAATCTGCTCATCATCAGTCATACTAGGTCGTCCATGTGATGACGATTTTATTGACCAAACTGTCTTCTGGATTAATTTTCACATTATTTTGAAGAGCCGGCTTGCTGTTTGTCGTTTCTGGCCAAGTCAGTTGATTTTTCAAGTCTGAAGGTTTCAGATTCTAAATCTTAAGTCTTTTTGATAGCATGTTGCATCGTGATATTATTCTTTGTTCTTCTCCCAGGTCACTGAATAAACAACCAGCCTACACACATTCCGGAGCTTCTAGTATAAGAAGTCACTTCGCTGAATGCATGCTTGGTCACATTCGACAAGTTTTATATCCCTTAGTCAATAACTTTCTGAATTCTGATAACAATCATGAAAATTTTGGAGGCGGAAACGAGATCGACAGTAATAATAATAATAATAGTAATAGTAATACCAGACATGGGATATGGAGTTTTCAAATTGTCAATGGAAGATGAAGCAACAAGCAATTAGTTAGTGGAGAGAAATCCTCGCAGGTATGCAACACATGCTAACTAAGTAAGGTTTCAAACGACTTTGTTGAAATTTTCTACTTCCTCCCTTATCTCTAGTTATTAATTATTGATTTAAGAGATTTTCATGTTTTCCCACTTTTTCTAGTCAGCGTCTCCTCCCTTCTCGAATGGAATTGACTACGAGTCGAAGGTAGTCGAATAGTCACTAAAGCACACTAAAGCTATTCATCTTTACCTGACTAGGAGATTCATCCGTTGTATACATCGATCGCATTGTTGGAATTCTTCGAAAATCCTATGAGCCTTAGATTATCTGTGATAGCAAAGGAGGCGGTTGGTGAAATCTCGCTTTTCCAAATCAGACAGTAGTAGTAGTAGTAGTAGCATGAAGCTATAACTTTCGGTGACCATCTGTCTGTTTTGCTTGGGAACTGGAATGATTATAGAAAAGGCGATTAGTGATGAAAGTGACTGTAATAATAGGCTTCACAGTTGTTGAATGTGTCATCAATTTGAATGAATCTCATTCTAATCGAGATGTCATTTTTGACACCATCTTGCATATTGTAATTTCACTTGTTTGGAGTGTAATATCCCCCTGTCGATTAAGACATGCTGCACCAGTCTTCCTGACTCTCAGGTTAGATGATAAACTGACATCGGTTGGAGGACCGTTGAAAACGCGCTAGTAGCAGTGGTTGAATTAGTAGTTTTGTCCGCCAAGCTTTGGACTGCATACACCCATGACACATACACCCAGGCGGAAACAATCACCAACAAGAAACTATGGCTGTGAACAAACAAAGCAAGAGCCAATCGCCCAAGAAATATGCAGGAGAAAGTGGAGATGGATCGGACACCGGCTGAGGAGACCGCTGGGTGACATCGCACGTCAAGCCCTCGAATGGAACCCGAAAGGGAAGCGGCGTGTGGGACGTCGGTGCAGGGGTGACATGGAGGATATCGTGTGAAGAGGAGTTGAAAGAGCATGGACTAACATGGATGCAGGTGAAAAATACAGAAGACAGAAGCAAATGGAGACGTGCAGTTGAAGCCCTATGTCCCACTGGGAACTCAAGGGAGCAATAATCATAATAATAAGCTTTCAAAAGATTCAGAATAACTCTGACTTTCACAATTACGACTGTCATGAGTAAGAGGATTGTTGATTTTCAGTGTTTCTACGTATATCTCATTCCGCTTTCCAAATTATGTTAGTATCCCATATATTTATATGATTACATTGAGGTGCATAGCTTTTCTGCGATGAGAACGTATTTCTTGGCGATATCTTGTTTGCATTTAACAACTGCTATCTGTTTTGCAATTCACCATAGAAAACGTATCTGAACTGAGCATTCCCTTGCTTGATGTGTGCCTCAGTAGATGCAGTGATGGACATCTCAAAAGGTTCATCCACCGGGAACATACATGGAATTGACAGCTAACTAATTTTTATAGTTGGGTGTCTATCTCGAGTAAAGGGAACTTAATTCGTGTCAGTAAAAAGTTTGAGCATTGTGGAATAGATGAAGTAAATATAATGAAATTATATTTCAATAGTTTACACACAGTGATAAGCTTTTGTGATTGGACACTAGTAAGTAGTGTGATGTGTCTAGTCCTTTCTTTGGTGCAGATTGAATTCTATCAGACAGGTTTTTAATGTGGCCACCATTCTAGGTAGCTCGCCATCACGGTGGACATTGATTTGATGATATTAGATGGTTGGAGCCAATCGTCAATATATTTCGAGCAGAATTACTGTCCGTGATCACATCAACTGTTGGAGTTGTTTTGCTTTGTATTCACACATTTATGCTTTGTACTCATAAATAAAGTTTTCTTTTGTCCATTCATTTTTGTGTGTCCGAAATTATATTCCAGGTTGTTGACAGTTGTGCTGAGTCACCGTTGTGACATGTACCCGGTGTGACCTTAATGAATATAGATTCTGGTATTAGATTTCAGAATGCAAACATGGTTCGAATCAATTTTGTGGTTTTTGTCCCATGCATGTGCAGCTATAGGCGCAATTTTTTTCCAAATTGTTGTAGGCTAGTGTTCCTGTTGGATGACCTTAAGTCAGGTGTTGATGTTCATTCACTCTTATTTTGAATGATCTGGACGTTTGCCCCATATATTTAGTCGGACACTCGGTACAAAATATCTGTTTGTAAATTACATTGTTTTTACCCGTCATTTTTATTGGATCTTTCAGTTGATATATCTTATTTGTAATCAGATTCGTCGGTTTCAACGTGGTGTGAATCCTAATAATTTTGAGGTTTCATTATGGGTAAATTTTGTTTTGATAAAGTCTCACCTTGATATGATTATGAGCAATAAATTGTGCTCGAAACGTCATCAGTAAACATTACTGTATAACACTGTGAGACTTTATCAAAACAAAATTGACCCATAATGGAATTACACTTTACCACAGTGTACAAGTTTTATTCTTATATCAATTTCGAGGTTTCTTCGAATTGCTTTTGATGCACCATTTTTGTATGGTATTGTGATTGATTTCGCCTTCCTCCTTCTTGTCATTCTCCGGTTTTATCCTCTTTGTTTTCTTCTTTATATTATCTCTGATAAATTC